GTTCACTTCACTTTTCTACCAGAGTCAGACTTCTATGAAAAATATAAAATTGCCAAATATCAACGTATACCTGCCAGACGACACCTGCAACCCAATATGTATTTCCCCAAATCCATAGGCTAGAATCTTATTGGGATGTTGCTCCAAAGTAAGTGAAATGGTGCAGCAAATTGCAGCTAATTAATGAAGGGACAGGTCATGCGCCTGGTAAAACAGCCTGTACCACTTCAGAGGGCAAGTGGGGGAGGAACCACACCAGGCTGGGCAGGATTTAGATCAGTGGTTCCCAAACTTGGGTACCCAGATGTTCTTAGACTAAAGCTCCCAGAAGCCCTCACCACTAGCTCTGCTGGCCAAGATTTCTGGGAGTTGTAGTCCAAGGGTATCTAGGGACGTAAGTTTGGAAACCATTGATTTAGATGTACACAGAGCAGACCCGTCACTACAGATGGGATAGGAATCCACTCTGGGTGCAACAAAATCCGGATCCAGACCTTGTTTACAAAATTATGTTCTTACAAAACCTCAGCTGCAAAAAGAAAGCCAGCTCAAAGGAGGCTGCGCCCTGCCTTAGAGGTCCTCTAGTCCAAACCTAGGCTCAGGGCAGGATCCAGAATGCCAGACACGTGCAGCAGAACAGCGCTACCAACCCCTTTCTTATCCACGTGCTACCCCAGAGTCCCTCTGAAGCCACAGAGGCTGTAAGGAATATGTTTCAGGAAGCCAGGTGAAGGAGAAAGTTCTGGGACACAGAAAAACTAGCAAGTCAGTTATCAGGATTCAGCTTGATCTCTCCCCTAAACAGTTATGCGTATATAAATTTAAGGTATAGAAAACCCATTGCCCTCCCACCCTAGCGAGGAACTCTCTGACATCCAACACCCCTCTGCAGCATGAAGTGGTACAGTCCAGAGAAGCCTTTACCACTTTTAAGTCTACGGAGAAAACCTATACAGTAAAGCCCGGCTTTCCCCACCTACTGCCCCCTAGAGGCGATGGCTCGCAACTCCCAGCAAGCTAGAACGCGGAGCCATCCCGATGAGTTTGACCACAACTCCCATCGTGCTGCTTGGGCTGATGTAGTCCAATATATCTGGAGGGCGCCGATCTGGTGAAGGGGTGATGGATTTCGGGTCTTTTTCCAACTTACCTGGACCTGGTTCGATATCTTCCAGGGGTCACATCGCCTCGGCCACCAATTTTTCTTCAAAGAGGCGGACTTTTTTGGGGGGGAGAGAGGAGATTCGAACCCCGCCCTGGAAGGCAGGTGGAAAGCAACTGAGACCTTAATTTTCCAGGTCCAAAATCAACCTTCCAAGCAACGTGCAGGGACAGAAGAAGCGTCCC